TTGCACTCGGTGTTCCCTTGTCTTAGAACGCTCACCTCCTTCATCTCCTTCAGATCTCTGCTCAACTATCACCTTCCTAATGAGGCCTTCCCTGATCACTCTATCTAAAATAGCAAAATCCCCTATCTAGCATTCATCATCCCCCTAGCTGGCCATATTTTTCTCTGTGCCACTTGTCCCATTTGGACATACTCTGTTTGTTAACTGTCTCCCGCACAAGCTCAGTGAGGGCAAGGTCTTCATCTTGTTTACTCCTAGGCCTTCCCCTAGGCCTACAACAGTGCCTACCTGTCCTTGCATGCTGTAGGAGCTTAATAATTACTTGTTGAATGAATAACTCTGGACCAGAGAAGTAGAAAAACTAGTTGTGGGGCTAGGGAGCACAATGGGGAAGAAGGAAAGAGGAGATGAGCACAAAGAAAAGATAGGAGAGGTCATGAGGGCCCTTCCTCCTGGTTCCAAGCCATTGATAAGGCGCAGCTGTATGTGGACTGCTCAACTTTAAGCTGCTCTTCAACTTCACTTGCTCTTTGCAACTGAAAAGTCCTAACCAATATAAACAGCTGGCAGTCCCCAACAAGCACAAAACTGAAAAAACAATAGCCTAGACATTTAATTCTCATCAGATTTATGAGAAAGCACATCCTACAGCATTCAGGAAGACGAGAATGCTTATTAGAGCTAATAAGGGTTCGGTGAGTGGCTAGATACAAAATGGATATATAAAAACAACAGATTTCTTTACAAGAGCATAAGAAAGTTATGGGGAAGACGATGCTATTTATGAGGTAACATGAAATACAAAACATATAGAAATAACCTTAATAAGAAACGCAAAAGTGCAGGAACAATATGAAGACAAGACAAAATGTTGCATTCATCTACTACTATGCATACAAAAAATACACAAAAGATCATAGGACATGATTAGAATATTTAAAATATATATCCATATATAAACAGAATCTAAAATACATCAAAATGTTAACAATAGCATTTCCTCTGAATGCGAGATTATTGTTGGCTTATTTTCATTTTTATTTTTCAGATTTTCTATAATGAATTTTCTTTTTTAATATAGAGCCTTTGGTAACTTTCCTGAACCCTGGTTGTAGCTGACACACAGAGAAGGAAAGGAACGAAGGAACTCCAAAGACTCCTCAATACCCCAAGCTCCAGGAGCAGCTCCTTTCTGTCTGCAGTATGGGAAAGAATGGAGCAGAATGAAAAGACTACAGTCTTTGGGGTCAGACTGGCCAGGAAAAGAATTCTTGCTTTGCCACTTACTATTCGTAAGTAAGTAACATGGGAAAGTTACTTAGCCTCTGGGCTCCAGTTTTCTCACTTATAATACAGAAAGAAATATTAACAGCTAATTTGTTCCACTTGCATGAAGATGAAGCCAACTTAGTGGTCGGCGTATTATATACCGGTGGTCCTCAGAGCTAGTTGCTCATCAGAATCACCCAGGGAGGTTTCTGAAAAATACAGTTTTGTGGACCCCAAACTATATCTAATTAATAAGGAATTCCACAGGTAGGGCCTAGAAATTTATATGGAATGCCATTATAACATGCACTTTTGGATGCATTTCTGATTTTTATACAGCCACTCTATCTGGGAAGCGTTGTGTTAAGAAATCAATAATAGAAGTTACATAAAGAAAACTTCAGGAAAAATCATAAAGAATTGATATAAACTACATTATTGTTTTGCATTATTATGTAACTTCATGTGTAAACAGCTTTGTCTTCCAATTAGACTTCAAACTTCTCGAGGACAGGAATCACATATTCTCCCAAGTACCCAGCACAGAATCACTAGGCACAAAGAAGTTAAGGAAGAAACATTTGTTAAATGACTCAATGAATAGGAGTAACAACTAATTTTGTAAACAAGATACCATACCATTTTAAAATAATAAAATTAAAAATATTAGGACCTTGGCGTTATTCCTGACAAAGCTGTCTTTCAATGACACCATCTTCACATTTATCCATGCAGTTTTAGTTACAGAAATACTAAAAGGATCTTACTCTAAGGTATTTCATTTATCACGTGGTCTCATGGCATATGCATCAGTATGTTCAGAAAGAACTTCAGGGTAGGGACCAGATAGCTTCTAAGATCCCTTCCAACTCCTCTATGAAAAGGATGCATTTATGTTGTGTCTTATATATTTATTTATTGAGGTAACAGTGGTTTACACTACTATATAAATTTCAGGCATACATCATTATATTTGACTTCTGCATAGATTGCATTGTGTTCACCACCAAAAGTCTTATGCTATGTCTTAAAGGATGGACTGGATTTAGATAGAATAATCGTGGAAGAAGAATATTCCAGGGGTTGTCATTACATTCATTAACAATGATTCTTCTAGTGAGGAATGAAATAAAACTGAGATTAAAAAAACAGATGAAAGGGCCAGCCCCAGTGGCCTAGTGGTTAAGTTCTGCGTGCTCAGCTTTGGCGGTCTGGGTTCAGTTCCCAAGTCTAGACCTACACACTTGTCTGTCAATGGCCATGCTGTGACAGCGGCTCACATACAAAAAACAAAAACAAAAGGGGAAGAAGGCAGCAGATGGTAGCTCAGGGTAAATCTTCCTCAGTGGGGGAAAAAGGATTTTAACAAAAAGTAAATGGCAGAAAAAGAATGTGAGAATGAATAATTACCTAACCAAAATTCCCAATCAAGATCAAAAGGATTTGGCCGTGGCATTTCTTGCCGAAAGAGAGCATGTACTTGAGAGATGTGTGAAAACAGAAGGCTGCTTGGTTTGCCAGGTAGATGTTTAGTGAACAGCTGACTCCACTCTTCTAACATGTTTCAGGATGTCCAGAGTGCCAAGTTAGGGTAATGTTGGACCTAGCTTAACAAAGAATTCAAAGACATTCCTTTGTGCATTGATGAGCTTCACTCTAAGCATCAGTAGTGACCACCAGGCAGGCTCCTGGTCTGGCCAGGATCAAGGTCAACATTTCAAAGCATGGAAGGCACTTTAAGGAGCTTTTCCAGAAATAAGATCACAGAGTCAGTTATTGAAATCAGTAAGAGAGAGAAATAAGAGGGAAAGAAACCAAAGGAGAGAGAAGTATATACATATAATGGACAGTGTGGTTACAAATGAAAGCAAAAAGGGGACTGTTTATTTCTCCAGCACATTCTGTGAAGCACTGAATGGAAGTTAAAGTGAATTGCACTTCAGAGAGTGAGTGGGAGAGGAATCAAAATTTATTAGATGTATCTATTAGATTATTAGATGTAGCAAAATTTAAGTTGAAGAACTTATTTCTCACATTGTAAAAGGGGTTAATGCAGTTACATTTGAGGAGCTCTATCATCCTATATTTTACTTATTTATAATTTTTTTAAGGTACGGAAGTGAAGAAGGAAAAACAAAAGGTAGCTGGAGGTAGGGGCTTAGATAAACTGGCTCTGTATTCATTGAGAGTAATAAGAAAGGCACTAAGATACATAAAAAATTTGAAGAAAGTGGATAAGATAAATGATATAAAGGTTTTCCAGTTTATGCTAAATACAACCTAGAGTAGTATTAACAGGATCAACAGAAAAGACCAGTCTAGGGAGATTTTTTAAGTATCAAGAGCAAAACTAAAAAGATATCCAAGAAGAACTATAGGAACTCAGAGACATGAGATATAAGAGAAAGAAGTGATTGAGATTTCTGGTTCTACACAGTCATCATTTAGAAATTATTAAGCAATCATTAAGAAAATCATACCCATTGAGCACACTTGGGTTTACATTCAGAGTAGGAGAAAGCAATAACCCCTCTATGTAGTGCGGTTTAGCAGAAAGAGATTGGCCTTTAGATGCAGACAGTGCTAGATACAAAACATGGCTCAGTGCACTACCACTTCCTAGCCTTGTAACTTTGGCAATTTAAATCTCTCTGAGCTTCTGTCTCATCTATTAATGACAGCAATGACACCTACATCCTATAAGATCATTGCATTGGAGGTAATGTATAAGTGTTTAGAACAGCACTAGGTAGGTGCTGCTGTTAACAGAATAATGATTAATATTGTTAGTTGTATAAATATTACGTAGCAATGGAGCCAGTCAACAACAATTGATTGGACATCTATCACATGGTATCCCAGTGGGACTGGGAGGTGCTGAGAAGATACTGAAGACAGACTGCAGACATTTCTTGGAAAGGAGAAAAAAAGAGAAGGTCTGGGAAACATGACATAAACATTAGAAAATATTTTAATAGCATTTTATTTTGAAGTTTTTCTTTCTTTTTTTTTTGCTAAGGAAGATTCCCCCTGAGCTAACATCTGTTGCTAATCTTCCTCTTTTTGTATGTGAGCTGCCATACAGCATGACCACTGACAAATGGTGTAGGTCTGCATCAGGGAACTGAACCAGGCCACTGAAGTGCAGCGTGATAAGCTTAACCACTAGGACACCGGGGCCGGCCCTTGAAAAATTTTTTGAAGTCTTCTCTTCTTGCTGAGATTGAAGCTTTGAAAATATATAATATGGCCGGCTTTTTAATATATATACCATATGAACAAATACTACAAATGCTAATAACACCAGCAACATAACGGTTTTTAAGCTAAAGGAAAAGAATTAGCATATATACAAAAAAGACTGTTATCACTAATGAGGCAAGGGAAAGGCCAGGTTGGAACTGCCAGGAGGAACTATAACCCAGAGGCCTATCCAAATCATAGGTTCTCCTTGGCTCTAAGAACGAGATACTGGGACAACAGTCTGTACAAAATGTGCCTTGTACACATCAATTCCTGTGACCCAGAATGAAGAGTGGCCAAAAAGACAAGACCTAAAGAACACACAGCTTCAGAAGGCCAAGGCGCTCAAGTAAAGAATTCAAAGCTCAAAACACAAGAGGTAGAGACCCAGAGAATTAAAAAGATGAATTAAAAATAAAAGCTCTTATACAACAATATAAACTAAATAGGTAAATCTCAAATTAACAATTAAAATTATTTTCATTTACCTGATTGCTTAGAATTTCTTTCTTTCCACTGAATATTTTTGCATTTGATCTGGTTTTGTCTCTCTTTTCGGAGTCGTTCTAATCTTTGAGCTTGAAAAGAAATATTATAACTATAAGTTTGTCAATGAAAGTTTACTATAAACAAAGACATAATTAACTACCTTTATATGAATAAAGATGTTTTATATTGCATATGTAGAGAAAAAGTCATAAAATTTTAAAGGTGGCACCCCTGAAAAGCAAATACCAACAAAAACATAAAAATATTCTTGATTTATAATTGAAATTAGAGGATATAAAACATTAATAGAGATCATAAAGATAGTATTAACATGGAAGAGAATAATAAAATGTGAAAACTTCTGTGATTAATATGACATTTCATTATATAAATCATTAATAACGGTCTTAAAGGAATTTTAATGCACAAATGAACTGAAGTGAATATTACATTACAGGAATAAAATTACTGTTATGAATTACTCTACCCGTTTCAAAAATTAAAGATAAATGAACTCAGACTAGACTATTAAAGTTTTAAATATAAAATCCTTTATCTAAAAATCATGAAAATTATAAAATGTCAAAGCTATATAAATTAGCATAGCTTTTCTTCAGTGGGCTGAAACAGTTTATAGGTAGTAAAATAAATGATTTGTATCTTTGTAACATTAGTCAAATCTTAAAAAGAACTATTTTTCTTATACAAAATTTTAAGATATGCTGAAAGGATTAAAAAGCAAATTCCTTGGTCACTAGGACACCCCACAATCTTTACTAATTATTAGCATCTAAGTGCTATCTTAAGACAGCCCAACAATAATAACAAAAGCATCACCTAAAATTACGCATTTGTGATTATATTACTACTGGCTGATCAACCTTCAAAATCAGTGAGCTGATCTTTGAAAGACATACTGTCCAGATACATTAACAGTAGCTGCCACGGAGACCACAATGGAAAAGAAAATCACAAATGATGCCATCTCCTGAAATTAGTTTTCTCTGCTAATCTTCAACTCCCTATTCTAGCACAATGATAATAAAAAATAAACAAAATAAATTTCTCTTTCAACCACTTTCAAGGCAGGAAATCATACACTCCTGCCTTAGCAATGTGGTAGGAAATATTGAAGCTTATTTCACCAGAAATTTAAACTATGCTGGCAAAAGCATTCTGACAATGTCACTATATCTAACCAAATTCCACTGAAGAAAAATACATTCAATTGCAATTAATAAATGTGAAGGGTACAGCCAAAGTAATATAATCATAAAGCTCTCAATTTAGCAGCATTCTCCTACTGAAATCCATTCAACCTGTCATATAAGATATCATCTCAATAACTTGCAAGGAAGTCAGTTTCAACTAGGGAACTAAGAATCAATGGTTCTAAATTATATTCAAACCTTCACTCAAATCCTATTTTGATAAAAGTTCTTTTAGATACTGGGAAATGCTATTAATTATTTTCATCATGAGAGCAAATTATTCTCTGTAGATGTCACAGAATGCTGAATTCTGAACCAAAACCTTACCGTGCCTTTCCCTGTAAACTGTACCCTCTCTCCCTGCAGTACTCCTTTACGTATATTTTACATTTGGACTATGAAAGTAAACATGTATTTTCAGTGTTCTACTACATCTCAAGCACTACTTTTCCTGGTAATTAGCAGGTTACTGCTACTGATTAGGAGATTATATTTTCTGATTATCTAAAAAAAAAATTATCTCCTAGAGTACTTTGTCATATTAGAACTACAATATATATTCTAAATAATTTATCTGAGTAAAAGCCTTGGTTCATCACATTTCCCTTGAAAGCCTTCCAAAAAATATAAGCTGGAAAATGGGCAACGATAAGCTTTTAAAAGCTAATGACTAGAAATATATATATATATACACACACACCCCCAAAACTTGAGCATTTTCAAGCCACAAAGATCAAAGGGTAGAGATCAACTTAAGAAAATAAAGGTAACATATCATAAACGGGGGCACCTTTTCTCATCTCACACCCACTGTAGGAATTCCTATTAAAAGCAGCCCTAATAAATATTCAGCTGTCTCCCTCCAATTCCCACCCCCACCCCTACTTCCTCCAGTGGCAAGAACTGTCTCAGGCAGCAGTACTCTTTGGCTGGTCAGCTCTCTGTATTAAAGGTTCTTTATGATGTCAACCTGAAATCTGCCTTCAGGTAGTCTACCTACTGGGACTAACGTTGCTCTGTGAAGACACTGCAAACAAGTCCACTCCCCTTTCTACATGACTTTCTAGAAACAGAACATCCAACATGCCTCTCATAGCCAACTTTTTCACTGATTCGTCTTCTATTTCCTTCTAATAGCATCGTTCCAGAGCTTCTATTCACAGTCACAGTGATGGAGACGCTGCTTAGACTCAGTGTAATACATTCATATTCCTGTTAACATATGGAAACTTTCCCCATTAAACCTATTCCAACATTATGCATTAGTCTGTAAGATTGTTTACTGATTTAAAACTCAGAAGACATGACTAAAAGGCAATGTTTACCTGTATTTGAGCGTCTTCTAATACCAAAGTCCCAACTTGAGGTAATATCGACTGACTGGGCATATACATAGCCCTGAGTCTCACCATTGCTTCCCTGAATTTCTGACCCACTGTCTCCAGGCATTGAAGGAGGATGAATCTTCTCTAGGTCAACATCATGATCAATGAGAACCATCTCACACATTCCTGTGTCATCACTGGTCACATGTGACTGTCGAATATGAGCTAGAATGATAGTTGGATTGTCCAAGAAGGCCATCCTTTCTGTGGGCCAATTTCCTTAAAAGGCTATTTTCTCCTCTTCATATTGTTTCACGGGCTCACCTACCTAGAAACATGATGTACACAGCAATATTTAAGAATAAGGCAGAAAATGACTGGATCATTTTTCAAACAACTTCAATGTGGTAAAATGCTACCCTGAAAATCAACATTCATCCCTGTACCTAGGAGCTTAAAAAGATTAAGTCTAAGCTGAAAGGAAATCCTTATAAGCACTAGGGGCTACAGCTCTAGTCAATGAGATCTCCATGGTATCAGAGAGGATGGCTTGCTCTCTTGCAAAACAAATAACAGTAACTTCTTAGGCCGCTCAAAGCACATAACTACTGTTAAAACAATAAATTTTTCTTTCTTTCTCCCTTCGTCCCATGCGGTCTTCTCATTACTTTACAAGGTGATGGGGGAACAAGTTGTATTTTCCACAAATGATGTGCTAAAGTATGAAACTGTGTTTCTTCAGTTTACTTCCCTCTCTCCTGTCACACGGTTGTCAAGTGTCTTAAAGGGCACAGGTGATGTTTTCTGAGTTACTAGGAATTTTACAAAAATGTACCAGCAAAGTAATTTTGTTCAATAAATATATTTTCCTTTCTTCTGATTTAAGATACTATTGTGCTTTTAGAATAAAACTTATTAATCAAAGTTGTCTGCTACCAGATTAATTTTTTATTTTAGAAACCTAATTATACGAACTGCTTCCTGAATCCTGTTGAAACCGTAATGATGTTTATTCTGGGAACAAGATGGTATGCCCTCAGTTAAATGGGAATACTCAACAAAGACAATATTACAGAAGCATGGTTAGGAACCTAAGGCCCTACAGGCGGAGCTGGGTTCAAATCCTGGCCCTACCACTTGCTAGCTAAGTGGTCTTGGTCAGAATAACCCTTACCTCTTTAAACCTATTTTGTCTCTTCATTTATAAAATGGGGGTTCAGGGATGAGAGGATATATAGGAGATAATGCAGGTAAAGTGCTCAAAAGAATACCATGCACATAATTAAATATTAGCTGCTATTAATAATGATGATGATGGTAAAAATATTACCAACTTCAGCTTACAATTCTTCTTTAAAGTAACCCTAAAATATATCAACAATCCATCCTTCTTTAGCAAGCTCACAGCAGGTAAACAGTGTGCTTCCTTTGTGACAGAGAACTCTGCAGGTCATCTGGGTCACCTTCCTGCTCCTCTAAAATCATTATGAAGTGCAAGGAACATGAAAGCTGGACTGAATATGTTCCTAGGAACAGTCCTAGAAGACATGTATTTTTAGAAAGACTTATAATGCCAGATTTTCTTGTCATTTGTTTCTCCTAGAAAAGGAACAGAGGGGGAAATCTAGTTAATAAACCATTATGGTTAACTAAGGTTTTAAAAATTTTTGTCTGGTAACATATCATTCTATGGAGATCACTTGGTGAATCTCAAAATAGAGACATTGAAATTAAGAGGAAGTTCAACTGAGGAGCATCTCTAAAAAAGTGAATTACATTAATCTTCATTTTTTTTTTTTAAAGATTTTATTTTTCCTTTTTCTCCCCAAAGCCCCCCAGTACAAAGTTGTATATTCTTCGTTGTGGGTCCTTCTAGTTGTGGCATGTGGGACGCTGCCTCAGCATGGTTCGATGAGCAGTGCCATGTCCACGCCCAGGATTCGAACCAACGAAACACTGGGCTGCCTGCAGCGGAGCGCGCGAACTTAACCACTGGGCCACGGGGCCAGCCCTAATCTTCATTTTTTTCCTTTAAATATGTTCACTGAGTATTTATTTTACACTGAGGCTAATGGGAAATGCAAAAGTGAGTAAGGGATACCTAAATCAAAAAGTTTATACCCTATTACAGACCTAGTATATCTCCTAATACCATGGGATTCTTCTAAGTGTCAAATTTCAAAGACATTTAGTCTCTGAAACAATATCAGCTCAGCATTTAAAGTGTTTTAATCAGGAAAAAATTACAGAATTAAAGAGGAGCATTTAAAATACACTCACAAAAATCAGAACTTCTTATATAACCACAAAGAGATTATACACTCATAGAATTCCTTACAAATGAGCATATCTGTTTTGTAACAGAATCACAGCATCACAGACCGCCAGGGCTGCAGACAGCCTCAGAGCAATCACAGCATGCCTCTTCCACGCAAAAGTAAGGCAACTGGGTGCCAGCAGAGGGGCAGGTGCTTTCAACTTCATAGCAAGGGCTTCAGTGACAAGCCACACATCCAATGGGTGTTTTGGTGCCAAAAAGTCAAAGGGCAAAGC